AACCTCCTCACAAGACCTCTCAACTACCCTAAAATTCTTGTTATCCCCTAAATTTTTTCTTATTCCTTTCCAACCAAACACCCCACAAGATGGCAAGAAAACAAGCAAGCCATAACAAAACCCTTTTATCCCGAAAAGGCAAGAATAACAGCACCTTCCCCAACAAAGCCCTACAATCTCTATTACCTTAAAAGCATTAAATATAGAGTTCAATTGACTAATTTAGCAAAGTAAATGTAATATTTATCCATGGTCCGTTAAAAAAATAAAATAAGATAAAAACAAAGTCTTGTCCTGTGTTTTATTTTCTATTTCTTGTTTTTCTCTATCACTCTTTCGGGAGTTTGTATCTGTGAACATTTTTGTTCCTTTTTATATATCAATGAAAAGTTCGTATCTTGTTCAAAAAAAAATTAACCTCGAAGCTTAATACTCTCACAAGCTCCAAGAAGCAATCTCACTCCATCATACACTTGCAGTTATCTTTTTCAAAATTGTAAATTTTCAACAATTTATGCCATTTATCATGCACAGAAATAGGGGGGAAATGTGCAAAGCACCAATAAGTAACCAAGTTCTCATTATGAGAACAAAGCATAAAGAGCATTTCAACACAGAATTAAAACATACGACTACCATGAATTTACATTAGAAACCGATCTAAATTGGATAAGCTAAGAAACATACAATTTTGAAAATATTCGTCCACATTACTTCAATGATCTACGAAGTTCCACTCCCACGAAGATACCAGTTTCCAACCAATCAAACTGCCTGTGCTAGAAAACAACTACCAGAGCGTCCATTTGCTGACCTGCGAGAATCCAGAAGCACCAGCTTATGAATGAGCAAAAGAAAGCCCTACAACTAGCTGGTCGATACCATTAAGATTAAATTATCGGTCAAATGAGTAGTCTACTCAAAACCATGCTTCCCCCAGATCAACAACCCGACAGAGACCTTCGTTACCTCCTTCAAATCACGCTTCCTCAGCCAAGTTCGAAAACAAATGAATCCAATTCAAACATATACAAATAAAATGCACAACCCTAGCTACCCATCAAGTAAAAAAGGACACCCAAGATTCTGAAACTCATAAAACGGCTTGGGGTGAATTCAAACGGAAAGCAGGGCTCATATATTCCCCAGACAAATTCTACCCTCCAAAATTCGGCCATTGCCGAGCAAGAAAACTCGAGTGCAGCATCCAAAACGATTAACAGAAGGTGGTAAAAGAGAATTCGAAGACATACGAGTTGCTTATCGATGGTGTCGGGTGGAACAGGCGAGTTGCAAGCGCACGCACAGCTTATTCTTCCTCTTCAGTGGGAAAGTCCAAAAGCTTCGATTCGCTCGTTTCCTTTGACAAATTAAGCCTCATGAAGTAAAGATTATAAATTTAACAAAATTTGTGGGGGGAAAGCCATAATCCGCCATTTATTTTCACGAAATTTGGATACCTGGTTTTTTTTTTTTTTTTCCCTTTTCCTTCAAGCATTACCTAATATCTTCTATAAAAAATAAAAACAAATAAAAACAAAAAATTAGAGTACCTAATATCTCTAAATAGTAAATACCACAATGTTTTGAATAAAAAAAATATAATATACGTATACATAACCATCCAAAATAACAATAATTGATGGTTAGATTCTCGCGTCTCTGCAAGACTAAAAAGGAAACTTGTTTAGTAGGTCAAAGGTTTCAACTTTACTCACAATACCGTTGTATTAAATTTTGTAAATATTTTTATGTATTATATATTATTTTTTATTTTTAAATATTTTTCATGTCACTTCATCAATTTGTACATACTTCAACTATTGTGTTGCTCAGTCAAAAAATAAAAATGAAAAAACTATTATGTTGCTTGACCCAACTATATTTAGTTGAGTAATTTGTCGATATTAAAACTTATATTTATTATTTTGTTTGGTAATATATGTGATTCAAAATAGATGTTTAGTACAGTCATGATTTTATTTATATTAAAAATAATAATAATAATACAAAACGCATTTACATACATATATTGAGTAACAATGGTTTGTTTATTTTATGGAGACCAACAAAGGAACGGAGTAATAAAAACTTTTTTCTTTTTCTGAAATGGGCAATATTCTTATCTCATTTTTATATTAATTTAATTATTTAATTTTTTATTTTTTTGGTATGAATGATTCATCTAAAGGTAAATAATATGTAGTTTTTTTTTTTAAATAACAAATTGGAGTATAGAAGTTTGAACCTCCAACCTAAACAGCTGTTAATTATTGCTAAACTATGCTCGTGTTGATATATTTATTTATTTAGTTTGAACCAAAAATAGATATTCATAATATAAGAGTATATTTGACTGAATATTGTTGGAATAAAATTTAAAACATAGTTTTAAAAAGAGGTAACGAGATCAAACCTAAACATAGCTCAATTAGTTAAACACATATATTCAACTAAAATATTAGAGTTTTGAATCTCCAAACCGTTTTTCGTAAATAATATTTTCTGATTGTCTAATACGATAGACAAAATATTTGGATAATAAAAAAATGGAGCACATTCTAATGTTGCAAAAGTTAAAATGCATTTCGTGTATTTTTTTTCCTGAAATAAATTACTTGGCGTGCTTGATAAGTTATTATTTGAATTTAACCATTTTAATTAGTTGCATTTCAATCTAGCTTTACCCAATAATCTGGAATTTAGTCTGTTAATTATTTTCCCAACATAAACATGTATATGATAATCAAAGATAAAGAAGATAACTAAACGAAAACCAAAATGGACAAAAACATTTCATTATAAAAGACTTTCGAGTTCAACCTTCTCTCTTGCACAAATATCTCGAATATTCACCCACAAATATCTCGAATATTCACCAATAAATCAATAATCTTTCTCGTTACTAATTTTTTTAATGATCATCAACGATCTACACCCCATCATAATTGAGTGTAAATTTAAATTGAAGTGGAGAGATTCGAATGCTTCATCACTGCACGTTGAATTATGCCATCTATGGCATGTCACAAATAACCTCGAAGCATGACCAAAATTGATTCTTTTATTATTTTTTTATATCCTTTGTTATTTACATTGGTCCTCGTTGAGCACTTGAGCCATCCATGATGGTTAAAATCGATTCTTAAATTTCCAATACGAATGAATAATGCTCTCAAAATATGAAGTATCAACTTTTGACCAAAATAAACATCTCTCAACATTTTGACCACAAAGATAGTCGATAATACAAATCTCGACGATATCTCCATTATTTTGATATTTCTCATAATCTAAATCAACATTGCATATCTCATTGTATGAAACAATAGAAACATTTCAAATAATAAATAAGCAAATTCCTCAACAACCACATTCAAGGACGACCTATCCATCCTTCTCATGGAATCATATGACTATGCCTTTGCCCTACAAATGAGAAACACAATGTGAAAAATGTGCGCAAAAAAAAAAATTGTTTTAAGTAGATTTCCACAACATTCAATTGCTCCTCTTTCATCACAACTTGGTAACACTAGATAGGAAGACAGTATAAGAAGAGAAGGGTGGTTGGGGTGAGAAGACATATATTCACAGATCATAAAACAGAGTAACATGATCCACAAATGCCTCCATGGGAGGTAATCGACGGGAAGGCGTACCTCTCGATATAAGAGTCATCCTCTGTATTAATAACTACAACATCTCCAATAACAACGTGTGGTGGTACCTGTAGAGACATGTAGAGCAAAGTTCTTTAAAGCACTCAAACTTGCATTAGAACTGTGGCTGATGGAAACTTGAAACAGAACTGTACAATGGCAGTAACAAAAGGATATGGAATAGCCAAGATTGTATGGAAATATCTAATAATCTTCCCCACATTAAATTACCAGAATTATATATAATGCCTATGTCTATCAAGTCCACATTTGCAGTTTCATTACGCACAAATGTGTACACTGATGTCCATTGATGTGCACATTTTCAGAAGCATAAAAACGTATGCGTGTGCGCATGTTCAGTGCTCATGTGCAGCATGAGACCCCAAATAATAGCATTGTGATTGCAAGAAGAAGTCTATGAGGACAATGTTTCTCATATGAACACATGCATCAACTACTGCGGGCTTGGCTCTTGGTCATTGGCGCCAGTGAAAAAATAAATGGGCTTCTTAATTAGTTCTTGCCACCTACCTGGAATTTTCTTGACAACTAAACGTAGCAAAGTTAGGAAATTGTTCAATGAGATTAATGGAGATGCATTCAAGTTGATCCAAGCACAAAGATGAAGAGGAAGAAGAAGAAGAAGGAAAAAAAAAAAGCACACCACAGACATGACAGAGAGGTAGAGAACCTTAAATTGTAGTTGATGGGTTATTATGATGTTGAATGTAACAACATAATATAGGGGGCTTATCAAGGCAAAAAAAGTCAAGCATGGAAACGGATTCAATACATGGGCAAGAATAAAAATAAACTGATATTACAGCACTAAATAGTAACTACACAAGCGAACCCAACAAGATTTTTGATGTAGTCCCCCAGGAAGGTTAAGTAGCACTATATAAGTAAAGCACCTTACTTACTTTTATTGTCATGCCATTGTCCAGCACTGCTTTCTTTTCCCTGAATCAATAAAGTTTTTAGGGTATAGTGTTTGTAATCGAGCCGGAAGAATTTTATTTAGCACAACAACAATCTAGACAAATTTTTCATAAATAATGAGACAGGCGAAACTTGTGAGGGAATAATTTAATATCTATTCTGAAGCTTTCAATAAATTTAATTCATCTTGATTAATACTCTTAAGAACTCTGTTTTCTGCCCTTTTAGCTTACATCTTCTTACCATCTCTGTTTATCTGTTCACAAACTAAATCAGTCGAGATCTGAACAAGAAATCAACTATACTACCATCAAATGTTTGAAAACATTAATGTCACTGACAATAACAGCTACCTCAATCGACTTGCCAAGAGAGAAACTAAATGTTTCATGGTCGAAATTGAGGGCAATTTGAGATGAAGAGTGGTTCAGTCATAAATCTTATAATAATTATTTACGCTTTACGGTGGGTTTAGGATGTCAATACCTAATAGTCATTATATGCAATGCCAACCATGGGAACCAGTTCTTGTAGCCCATTCCCATTCATTTCCACATTCCATACTCGCCTTATTCTGTTGGCAAGGGGAATTATCAAACATATATTCATTTCTGACCACTAAATCCTTGAACACAACCAAATAGTTCCAAGGAATATTGATTTCAATCACCAACTTGTATCCTTGAACTTTTTTCCCTTTTTTTCCATATATCAATGAAAAGTTTTTTTTTCGTGACTCGCGAGGGTCTAGGCCAACTTGCACGCACCTTGATTAATCTCACATGGCAATAGTTTGATCCTACAACATTTGGTGCCGGGAAATACATAGGAATTAATTCATACGATAGGTGGCCATAATGGGGTTTGAACAAATTCCCTCTCAATTAACCCTAGCCCATTTGGACCAATGAACCATCCATGATAGTTGAAAAGTTTGTTTCTTATTATAAAAATTAAAAAAAAATAAAAAAAATAAAAAAAAAACTCTTAAAATTTCTTTACTAACATCAGAGTCAAGTCTAAGAATCTAAATGCAGTAGTCCCTTTCAATCGCAAGTTTCCAGCCCAGAAGATGAGGGCAGGAGTTTCTATGTTTCTGGAAGAACTTGAGAGATGAATGCAACCTGAGAACGTTTCCAACAGCAGAGTGAAGCAATTCCAACGACCCTAAGTCAAGAGTATAGGAGAAAGAGTGATTCTTCCCATACTTACCTATAATGTAATTACTTCTTGATTTCACATGATTAATGTTGATTAATATTTAATAAAATGCCAAGCATGGTCTGTCTTATGTTATGATCGTAAAAATTAATTTGCATTCACATGCTCATGATATGGGTAAAGTAAGGGTTGAGTTTGGGCTTTTAACTTAAGAGATTGCATGAAGTCAGTATTTTCTCTAATCACACTCGGAAGTTTCATTCCCTACATCTCACTTGATTTCTCTTATACCCATTTCACTTCTTTGAATTCCTAAATTTGAACAGAATTTTGGTACATTTCAGCCAAGATAATACTGTGAGAAATTTTTTAATTTAAATTGCATGCTCACAATTTAATTTGTGCCAGTCATAAAAAGTAGGAACATACTTGGGAGTAGCCGCGATTCCCTTCATGGGTGGCTGTGCTTCCTTCACAACACACGTCACTCGTTTTGGAACCGATGCAGATAAGGGAGTGTCATTGAAAAGTTGTACCATAACTTTCATGTCATCTATTTTTCATGTTTACCAAGTGTTAGTCCTAGAATAAACAAAAAGATATCCGATTATGGATGATGGTACATGAAAAATAAAATGGATTGACATCTGTGGCATGCATAAATGTAATTATCATTATCATTATTATATAAAGAGACAGAATGTCGGAGAAACATTTTAGACAAGGAAAGCTTTCTCCTAGCCTAGTTCGAAGAGAGATGAGACTTTTATCCCAAATATTTAATCATGCTGGATAGTGAATGGGATAAATAACAAGTGGAATATCACTTGTAATGCTTACACAATATACTTTAATTACCTTGTAAATACATGGCAGCCTTGCCAAACAATTCCTCGGGGACTTCCAGTTGCTCATATGTATCAGGGCTGATATAAAATTGACGGAACAAATTTTCAGTAAATTTCATTCTCTAATACTTCTAGGTCAAGTTCACCAGACATAAATATTGGAGGGCTTGTAGCTGTAGAATAGTGGAACTCACTCCATTAATAATACTTTGGCATCCCGATCTCTACACATAAATATATATGCTTTCTCCTGTACAAAAACCCCTGCAACAATTAATTAGTCACAAGAAAGGATGGAACTCATGTTAGATGGAAGCATCAGCAGTAGCCTAACACTGTTCCTGATGTTTAGACTTATATTATAGACGAGGATGGAATAAAAATTTATGGTAGTAGATATTGTATAACGAGATAACTAAACCTAAACTATGAATATTTAAGGTCATAAAATATATCATTGCACACATCAATAAAGGACCACCTAATAATAATTATAGGTATCCCAACAAAACAATTGAGCAGTTTATTCCATGCTTATTAATGGAGAAGTATGCCCTAAGATTCAACACGACATATTGAATTTCTTTCAGAATTGTTGCTATTTAGGATCTAGAAATTATACTTAAAATTTTAAAACAGAAGTAATATCAGTAATAGCAATAACTAAGACATCAAAATAGAGACCAACGTCCTCAACCGGGTTATCCGACTTCAATTGCAACGAGATGTGCATGATATAAGGCTTATCTGATCCATGGGGAGGATATTTAGAAAGAACAGTGCATAACTGTCAACAGATTCATCTGTAGCCAATCGTTGAGTTACTTTGTTTCCACTCTCAACGTCACGAAGTTCAACCTGTGATAAAGGAGAGGTTAATTTTAATTTTTAAATTAGCAGGGAAAAACCGCTTGCATTTCATCCCAAAGTAAAAAGCCAACTTTGACCCCATGACATATTTACACAATCCAATATACATTCATGAATACATACAATATGAGAGGGAGAGATGATAAGATTCATAAGAAAGAAGTTCATCAGAAGAATACAAAGACGCATGAGGAATGAGAGAAGATGAGATATTCTCCCTAGCTTAGGACCTGTGGGGATTAAGCACTCCAATTGTTGTTAATCAAATAGGGGAAGTAATTACAAAAAATTATGAAAACAGTGTTCCAAGTAAATGCTAGAAAGCAAGTAACCGTCCCTTAAAAAATACACAATTCTCTCAACCCATTCAAAATCTACAATTCGATAGTCTTAGGAACCATCGTGTTAGACCCCCAATTGTAAATGTCTATGCTAGGAAGGTAAAGTGGGGAATCCATCATTAAGTTAGTTATGTGAGTGAAGGAGAGAATGTGTTATGGGATAAAAGTAGGAAGTTAGTAGGAAGTTACTTGTCTTGTGTATTTTGAATGTTCAGTTGAACTGTGGGGAGAGATACCGGCTCTCTCGAATTGGCCGTTGGTGTGTTTTGTACTAGTGTTTTGGTGTTTTGTCTTTGAATTCCAAGTAGTAAGGAGTATCCTTACAAATTGGTATCAGAGCACTCCTTCTTGGGCAATATCGACAGAATGGTATCCACACGGTTGGAAGAGCGCTGTGAAGCCACGGAGGCAGAGGTTTTTGGTCTGAAGGATCTGATGTTGGCCCTTCGTGAACAGGTATCACAGAATCAAAAAGCGTTAAAGGCGTTTATGGTGTAACAGAAGACTATGGGACAAGTGATGACTGATTTGATCGAGGGAAAGGTTCGCATACGGTCTCGGTCAGGGAGACCTCGACAGGACGACTTGGAGGAACTTCGGGGGATGTCAAAATCGTGGAAGGTCCAGATTCCAGTGGTGATCGAAGCAAATTTAAGAAACTGGAAATGCCTATTTTCACAGGGCTTGATCCGTACTCGTGGTTGTTCAGGGCTGAAAGATATTTCGACATTCACAAATTAACCGATGAGGAAAAACTGACGGTATTGGTTATCAGCTTTGAAGGCATTGCATTGGCTTGGTTTTGTTGGAGTAATCATTTGTTCATTGGGATGATCTCAAACAACGGATGTACCGTCGTTTTCATTCATCCAAGTCAGGGAAAATCTGTGCACAGTTATTATCCATCAAACAACAAGGCACAGTTACTGAGTATCAAGAGCAATTTGAAGCGTTGGCGGCCTCTGTTCCCCATCTCACGGATGAAGTTCTTGAGTGTGCATATCTGAACGGTTTAGATTCGGTTGTGAGAGTGGAAGTTTTGGCCATGGAACCCAATGGATTGGACGAGATGATGCGTAAGGCACAGCTTGTGGAAGATATCAATAGTGCGACAATTGCGGCGGCAGATTTTGGGCAGAATCGCTTGGGAATCAAATTTGCATCTTCATCTTCCTCTACCAAAATCTCACCTAAATTCACTGAATCCATTCCGACTCACACGGTCACTATTGCGAGTAAGAATCCGACGGTTCCGCTACCCTCACAGGCCACAACTGGGCCTACTCAAAAGAGGTTAACAGAAGCGGAATATTTAACGTGCAAAGAACAGGGCCTCTGTTTTCGTTGTGAGGAAAAATACTCGATTGGGCACAAGTGTAAAAATCCCCAATTGCAAGTCTATGTGGTGCACAATGATGACGTTGGGGAAGATGAAGGGGGCCAAGAGGTTATAGAAGAGGTATGTCCTCCAATTGATGACAGGGGAAAAGCAGTTGAATTTGTGGCTTTCAACACTGTGGTTGGCTTCACAATGCCGGGAACTATGAAGTTGAAAGGATTAATCCAAGGGCGGGAGGTCGTGATTCTTATTGATTGTGGGGCAACCCATAATTTTATTGCTAATTCTTTGGCGGAGGATTTGAACCTGTCGTGTTCTGAGACATCCAATTATGGAGTAATTATGGGAACTGGCTTAGCTGTTAAGGGGAAGGGCATCTGTCGAGGTGTTGTCCTTGAATTACCTGAGTTACCGGTCAAATACGATTTTTTGCCGCTTGAGTTGGGAAGTTTGGATGTCGTTTTGGGGATGCAGTGGCTTAAACGAATGGGATCAATGAAGGTGGATTGGCCTGCCTTGTTGATGACGTTCAAGAGGGATGGAAAGAAGATCCAACTCAAAGGGGATCCTTCTCTCGCACAAAAAGAAGTCTCCTTCAAACGATTGGCACGGGCCTGGGATAATGAGGATCAGGGTTTCTTGGTGGAACTACGTACCATGTCATCCATGGAGGCAGCCAATGTAAACCTCAATGACGGACCATTCCCTGACCTACCCACGGGTGTCAAAGAATTGCTTGCAGAGTACAGTACTGTCTTTAGTGAGCCTAATACCTTGCCTCCTTCACAATCAATAGATCACCAGATTCAGTTAAAAGAAGGGGAACAGCCGGTTAACATGCGACCTTATCGATATGCACATGTCCAGAAAGCTGAGATTGAACATTTGGTGGGTGATATGCTAGCGGCTGGTATCATACGTCCTAGTATCAGCCCCTATTCCAGCCCGGTGATCCTAGTTAAAAAGAAAGACGGGAGTTGGAGATTTTGTGTGGATTATAGGGCTCTCAACAATGCTACTATACCAGACAAGTTTCCTATTCCGATCATTGAAGAGTTATTAGATGAGCTCCATGGATCACAAGTGTATTCCAAAATTGGCCTTCGGTCTGGATATCATCAAATCAAGGTGGCGGAGAATGACGTTCCAAAAACAGCGTTTAGAACACATGACGGCCATTATGAATTCTTGGTTATGCCTTTCGGGTTAACCAATGCTCCGTCGATGTTCCAATCCCTTATGAACCAGGTTTTTCGTCCCTTTCTACGACGTTGTGTACTAGTATTCTTTGACAATATCCTGGTTTATAGCCCTGATATGGAATCTCATTTGACACATTTGGCTATGGTATTCAATGTTATGAAGGAAAATAGTTTGTTTGCCAACCTAAAGAAATGTAGCTTGGCCCAAGCCAGAATTGAGTACCTTGGTCATTGGATTTCGGCGCGGGGAGTCGAAGCCGATCCAGGAAAAGTGAGAGCAATGTTACAATGGCCTCGACCTTCAAACTTGAAAGAACTTCGCGGATTTTTGGGGCTCACCGGTTATTATAGGAGATTTGTGGCCAATTATGGGACCTTAGCTGCTCCCTTAACACAACTCCTCAAAAAGGATTCCTGCTTATGGACAGATCAAGCTACACAGGCATTTGAACGCTTGAAGCAAGCGATGATCACTCTTTCGGTCTTAACCCTTCCTGATTTTAGTATCCGTTTTGTCATTGAAACAGATGCTTCGAGTTATGGATTAGGAGCTGTTTTGTCTCAAAACCAACGGCCTATAGCGTACTACAGTCACAATCTTTCCCTAAGGGCTCAATCGAAATCAGTGTATGAGAGGGAACTTATGGCAGTTGTTATGGCGGTCCAACGTTGGCGTCCTTATTTGTTAGGGCAACGTTTTGTTGTTAAGACCGATCAACAAGCTTTGAAATTCCTGTTAGAACAACGGGTTGGGCAACCAGAATATCAAAAATCGGTCTCTAAACTTCTCGGTTATAGTTTTGAAATTCAGTACAAACTTGGACAAGAGAATAAAGCTGCTGATGCCTTATCTCGCATGACCCCTGTTGCTCAATTTGGCATGTTAATGGTACCTAGTTTGCTTGACATTGCAGTGATTTCCAAGGAGGTCACCAAAGATCTTATTTATCAACAGTCATAGCTGAATTAAATTCCAACAATGCAACAGGATCCAAGCTCCATCTTCAGCAAGGTGTATTGAAGTATAAAGGCCAATTGGTGTTGTCCAAAAAATCCTCTCTCATTCCAGCCATCTTAAACATGTACCATGATTCTGTACTGGGTGCCATTCCAGATTTCTCAGAACTTACAAGTGTCTTACTGCTGAATTGTATTGGCAAGGAATGAAAGGTGAAGTAAAAACATATGTCGCACATTGTTCTATTTGCCAGAGTAACAAGTCCTTGGCAGTAGCACCAGCTGGACTATTACAACCGCTGCCCATTCCTAATCGAATTTGGGAAGATATAGCGATGGATTTCATTGAAGGTTTGCCTAAATCTCATAATTTCAGTGCTATACTTGTAGTGGGGATCGTTTGAGCAAGTATGGTCATTTTATCCCAATCAGTCATCCGTTCACAGCTAAATCCATTGCTTCTATGTTTGTGAAAGAGATTGTTCGTTTGTATGGATTTCCTCAGTCCATAGTTTCGGAAAGTGGTAAACAAGTGTTTGGAAACATATCTACGTTGCTTTTGTACCGGCGCTCCTAAACTTTGGAGTCATAGAATTCCATGGGTTGAATTTTGGTATAAGTGTATAACACCACTTATCATGTTTCCATTGCTACTACTCCATTTCACATTGTCTATGGATGACCTCCTCCTACACTTGTTGCGACCTCCTCCTACACTTGTTGCTTATGGTAGCCAAAAGATAACCAACGCAACTCTTGACCAACAACTAGCTGATTGAGACCTTATGCTTGACCTTCTCAAGGATTCTCTTAGCAATGCTCAGAGTCGTATGAAGAAGTTTGCAGATTTGAAACGTCGTGATGTCGAGTTTCAAGAGGGAGATTGAGTGTATTTGAAGATACGACCCTATAGACAGAAAATTGTGGCTAAACGAAGAAATGAGAAGCTAGCTCCGAAGTATTTTGGTCCATATGAGGTTTTGCAAAGAGTAGGGAAGGTCGCTTACAAGCTTAAACTCCCTCCGGAGGCTGCCATCCATCCGGTATTCCATGTGTCTCAACTCAAACAAGCGCTCGGATAACATGTGGCCACTCAACCTCTTACACCTTGGCTTACTTCGGATCTTGAATGGCTTGCGGAACCAGAAGATGTGTTTGCTACCCGTACCAACCCCATAACAAAAGTGGACGAGGCGCTGATCAGTTGGGCACATCTTCCTGAAGAAGAGGCAACTTGGGAAGCTGTTCCCGAAATTCAGTACCAATTTCCAGCATTTCATGAGAAGTTTTTTGGTCCTCATCACCTTGGGGACAAGGTGACTGGAGGGGGGCCAATTGTAAATGTCTATGCTAGGAAGGGTAAATTGGGAATCCATCATTAAGTTAGTTAGTTATGTGAGTGAAGGAGAGAACGTGTTATGGGATAAAAGTAGGAAGTTACTTGTCTTGTGTATTTTGTATGTTCAGTTGAACTGTGCGGAGAGATACCAGCCCTCTCGAATTGGCCGTCGGTGTGTTTTGTACTAGTGTTTTGGTGTTTTGTCTTTGAATTCCAAGAAGTAGTAAGGAGTATCCTTACACATTGTCTCATAACACTCCAGCCTTCTTCTAGGGTGACTGCAAAGTATTTGCCACACAGATTCTTTTGGGCTTTTATTGAACACCAGAAGATGCCAAATTGGAAAATCCACAGCACGTACAAAATGGTAAAAATTCACCTCTGAAAATATCTAAAAACATTTTTGACACCTCCAATATGTAGGAATTTTGGGGACTTTTTAGGGCACTATTATAAAGGATCTTGACCTGGGTGTGTTTAAGAGAGAACCTTAGGCGATCATTCCCACCTTTGCTTAATGCCAATTAGAGGATCATTTTACAATCTCCCCTAGCCTTTCAGTTTCTTTTACACCTTACTTCTTAAATGAAATACTATCGTTTATCCCAAAAGACATCTAAGGAAAGTTTCAATCAAACTCCAAATATAGGAACTTGTTGTAAGTTCAGAAATGAACCTTGATCGTGGCCTTTCCTCTTCCTTCATGTGAATGATCAACTCTTGTAACCTAAACCAAGAGGCATAGCCAAGCATCGCGTAAGATAATACTACTACGCTATTTCAATCACATCAATGAGATGTAAAGGCATTAAAATATACCTGGAAAATACGTTCTGAAGCAAACAATACAGGCAACAAAAGCAAAGTCATTCGGTCAGTATATGTGATTATGTGTGAGTATACATATATAAGAGGGAGCGAGGGATGAAATTGATTTATCAATCAACAGGCAGTTTCACAATCCAATATTAACACAGAAAGTAACCTTTCCGTTCAATTATGTTCCCCACTCTCACCTGCAATGAAAAAATATATAGAAATTCAGACGCATCAAACAAACGAAGCCCACAAAATTAAAGTCAGTATTAAGCTAAGCTAAATGTAAAACCCATTACCTAAACGCACATCTGCACAATACAATGAAAATGGAGAGTAGAAGAAACAAACTTACATCGGAACCATGCACTTTGAATCCACGGTGTTGAATGAGGGACCATAGAGAACCAAGCAAGTGACAACGGCCGTCGGCGGAGGAGGGGAATTCCGTTGATCTGAAGGATGAAGCAATTGCAGATGAAGGGGGAGAGAGAGCCCGAGAGAAGGCCTTGCGCAGAAGAAGAGCTCGCATCGTGTTGCAGTCTGCAGAGGCGAGATCCAGCAGCTGAGTGAAGAAACTAGAGCTCCATTTCCATTAGCAGTGTTCGGAATTTGCAGTGATGATCGCCAATCAATCTTCTTCCAAGTTCCAACTCCGATTCTCTACGCCGGTGGCCGCGGGGTCTAAAGATGGAACCATGGATTTTTAACTTTTTTAAGGGTCCGTTAAATTACATTTTTCCCCCTATTTTCTTAACATTGGTTATCAAAATTTAACGTTAAAAAATAAATAAATACAAATTTAATTTTACCTTTTCTCAACAACTAACTTTTTTTTTTTTACTCGGTTTTGATTTTAGGCTTAAATGCTATTTTGTTTTCAATTTTTATTTATCTGGGTCCTATACTTTTAAAAAATAACTAAATTGAGTTAAATTAGTCAATAAATGAAGATGATTATTATTATTTTGTTTAAATAAAGTTGTGGATCGAAACATATAAGTATTTTAACTAATTGAATATGTTCGTTTTTCAAGATTAGTATGCTTAAATAAATAATATGACCAACTTTAAAGACTATAGCGGGCAATTAATGTTTTAAGAGCACAGATATATGCTGCATAAAGTTTAATTACTAAGCATGATATTTGAAAATATTCCTAGATGAGACAAATGGAGGGAGAACATTATCAATCGAAACAAAAGGGACTAAAAATTACGAAATTTGTACTTTTTATTTGTAATTACTCAAATCTATTAATATTTACGCCAAATAAATCATACGTGACAAATTATCATGCATTATTAAAATTTCTCATTGAGATCTTAGAAAGAACCGAAACTCCCTACCGAGCTTATTAGACATCAATCACAAAAGACCAATTTGATAATATCCTTGTTTCTTATTTCTAATTTTCTAAATAGAAAAATATAACTAAACTGTTATTATTCTTTACCATTTTAAATTAAGATAAGTTTAAATTTTATATAAAATTAATTTTTTTAAAATTAAACATTCAAAATCTGTACACTTTCAATTATTTAGTAAACATTTGCTATGCATTTTATAAGTTAAAAGAATTATAAAATAATATTTTTATTTATGTTGGAAAGAAATGAGAACATAAACAAGAAGAGCCAAGGAAACTTTTCTTAAAAATGAAAAACAAAAAAACTAAAACAGTTACCAACGCTTATGCTTCAAAAAAATATAAAAAACAACGTACATAGAACAAAAAACAATAAACAAAAACATTATAAAATGATCCCACATTTTTCTGGTTCCCAAGTTCCTAATAAGTGCTACAGAGCACAAATTTCCATCAAAAACAACCCCACCCCAATTACAGCATTCCTTTCTATTGCACCTAAAATCTCGATTTTTGCTGATATTTCACGTGTTTCTATTTATGGTTCCTATGGAGCTACATCATAACAAATCTTCTTTTTTCTACGGTATTGCTTCTATCATCTTAGTAGCAAATCTTCTTTTTCTATAGGATTGCTTCTATGATCTTAATAGCACTAGCCGCCATTATCCAAACGAAAGTCAAAAGACCTCTAGCTCATAGTTCAATTGGAGCGGTAGGTCATATTCGTACGGGTTTCTCATGTGGAACCATATCTGCCTAACAAATAAAAGCATGATACAAACAAGATACATATAGCAAAAAAGTCCTCTAATGAAACTTTATCAATACTATAGGTAAAATTACCAAATACATTGCAAAAAAATTAATGGTCTATGAGAAGTTGAGGCAACCTCCACTCCCAAAAATATGACAACAAAGTTCTAACAAAACTGATGTCAGAATCCCTTCTGTCATTAAGAAGAGAGTGCCCCAAATTTTATTTTGCTCAAAATCAGTGTCCTCCCACTGATTCCCTAACCAAAAATACTTCAACGGGATTTTTATGCTCTTTCTTTAACTACCCTATATCCAATCACAACCCGAAATCAATCGGTGCAATTCAGCCTACTACAATGATCTTACGACAAAAGTAAAAGTAAGAATAAGAAGAAGTCTGACGTTTACAGGCACGGTAGTCCCAAAACGGGCGGAAAAAATGTTTCCTTAAGATTGTGCAGGTCCAGTGGGAATCCCCATCATTCTGGACCTCATAGTCCGATGGACTTCTCGAACTTTTGAACTTGGTTGAGGAAAATCCATGTCATCTGCATTGTCACATATCCAAAAGTTAGAAGTACAATATGAAGATATAATCATCGATGGACAGTTATAGACGGGGATATGTTATTGGAGGGGCTGTAACGTCCCACAAGACGATTTAATACCATTGGAGGTACGAGTGCGAAAAATTTTAAACTATAGTTTGATCGTGCATTCTCAGCCACATTGAATAATTTTCCAACCTAACCATCTTAAATGGAGAGAATGTGAGTTTTGTTTTTTTTTTCCTCCTTAAATAATTGGGATATTGGGAGTCATTATTAAGGTTTTCTTTTAAACCGACGACAATCGTGGAGATGTGAATTCAAACATCGGCTTAAATTATTAAGAGCCTGTTTGATAACCACGACATGTTTTTTAAAATCATGCTTATAAACAATACTTATACTAATGTGTTTCATTTTTTTTTAAACTGAACTAAAGCAGTTGTTAAAAACTTAGCTAAAAATTCAGACGTGAAAACACACCAAGAAATTGTGAGAAAGCCAACATAATTCAAAAAAAAAAAAAAAATACTAAAAACCAAATGGTTATCAAACGGGACCTAAGTTTTATGTCAGAAGTTTTGGTTTTGAGGTCAGGTGGGGTAGAAGGAGATCGTACCATGACATGTGGAGCAATCCTAACACAGTACACAGGGAAACCCGTGTAAAATTTGAAGGGTCCGCCAGATTTCAAGGTCTTCATGGCACAATCCAGAGAGCCAGAGTAAGGAAGCTTGCCCTCAGCATCAGGCTGCATTTTCTGGATCTGGGTCTTCACATAATCAAATGGCAAACTGCAAGCTGCGGCACAAAATCCTGAAACAGCACTTGCACCTGGAGAAGAGCAACAGAGGAAAAAGAACATGTCACAATTAGCACAAAATAAACTTTCAAGAGCTTAAATATTTCCCCGAATAGTTTATGCAGAATCTAGAAACTTGCAAAATTTTAATTGACCAAGTGATGTTGATCCAGGCAGTGGGATGAATATCTAATTCTGAAGTATAGAATAAAGATGGACAATGTGATCCCATTGCGCACGAAAGATTGAAGAAGAAGATGTGGTCTATCCTAGTCCAAAGTCCATGCCACCATTTGGGATGAATCGAAAGAAATTTGACCACGAAATGTGCAAAGAATCTCACCTAGGACCGTTGTAGCTTCACCGAAACCAAGGTTATCCTTGAAAAACTCGACACTTTGATCGTAGGAGGCAAGCATGCCCATATTCAGTGCCATTGCTCTCACTACTGTTGGACCAGCACCTTTCCAGAGAGCCAAAACACCCTCGTCTCCAACAATTCGATATAGTGCATGGAATGCATTTTTGTAGTTTCGACGTTGTGCAGCCGGCAGGGTGGCATCGGCCTGCATTCGGATAAGTGCCAAATCTGCAGGACTACCGAAAGACGCTCCAATAGCACCAGCAGTTAACCCACATAAAGCTTTTTGATACAGAGGAAGGGGCTTGCCGTCATTGGCTTCAATTGCTTTGTTTGTCAAAATCCTACAAAATGAAGCAGAAAGAAAATTCATTGAACTATTAATAAACTAAATTATCCACATACCGAGCCGACGGGGAAAAAACTGAAGAACTATAAACTAAACACATTTCTATCCATCAACACGCTAATCAGAACAGAATCAAGACCTCCAGAGAGTGAAACAATAGAAGGAGCCTGGATACAATGATAATCAAAATTAAAAAGATCATTTTTTTTTAACAGAATTGTGCAAGAAATGCATGGAATTTCATTTGATTGAAGGAAACAATACCAAGTAATTATTTGTGTTCATTTTTCTAACAAAAGTCAGAATAGTTCCATATTGTCTGTTCTTGGAAAAAGGATTTATTCAACAAAATTTTTTCCTTGCTAGTGCTACTAAAGAGGAATTCATCCTTAACACCGATCAAGTTCCATATGAATACAATTGCAAAGGAATAGTTCATTGGATAATGTTAAATGTGATATTAAGACTACTTTATTTTCAAATAATAAATGGAGTAGATATTTGCAGATACACTAATGATCTAAACATCGACATGTCAATTTGGACGAGTTTCTCCTTACCAATTTGTAGACAAATTCCTTTTCTAAAAGAATAGTTCTTTGCTTTAAGTAAAAATAACAAATTTGCATCATTTTCTTTTCCATTCCACACCTCAAATCTAAACAAACACGACACAACCAAAACATCTACACATGCCAAATTCTTAAAGCGAGAGAATGACCGAATAAATCAGGACTTAGTGCAATTCATTACCAAAACACTTCTACTTTTTGGAAAATGAAATTCAGCATAACACTCACTTGAATGATCCAAGTCGTGCAGTGGTATAGGTAGCTTGTCTAAGAAGCCCAGCAGAGAGACCCTGTTTAACATTATGCACTTTAGAAAAAATTCTGTTGTTTCTTGATAAAAATAATACAAACAAACATGCGATTAACATAATACAAGTACTAAAACAAAGGACTGCCGAAGCATTCCCAAGAATACAAGCTGAAACCGTCAGACATTTATTTTTCCTCTTAGTTTAGTCGGTTCACTTATTCGAAGACACATGAAGCACACACAAAAGCGACACAAGAAATCTTGAAATATTCAACTGAACTAGAAATTAACCAACTCACTAACATCAAACAACCCCAATTTTAAGTTCTTTAGATTACAAATCACAGCATCTATGAAGCATCAGCCTAGTGCCTACATCTCTTATAATTTTCTAAATAAGATTGGAATGTGGGTCGAAGCGAAGAAATAAACAGATAACTTAAACCACTCCATTCGCTCGAGTAACAACTCCAATCCACCATTTACAATTAGTACCAATAAAATCAAGTAGAGAAGCTGATTACTATACAATAATACTCTTCCAGCCCTCTCAGAGGTCCTCGGAATAACGAGATCTCGTAACCAACAAGTAAATTTACTCCAAGCCAGTATTTCACAATGTACCCCAAGATCGACAGTGCAATTTAATGAATCAGAATCACAGATTTCAAGTAGATCTTTGAAACGCACCTTGTAGAAAGCACCAACTCCCTCCGCCTTAAGCATGTTCCTGGTTACCTCGCCTGCCGAACCCTGACCCAGCTGAATTCTCACCTGAACCAAATCAAAAAGGCAATATTAAATCAACAGACATAAACCCATCAACGCATCTAGAACAAAAAGAGACGAAATACGATCTCCAAAACCCCTGGATCTAAATTCCATTTAAGAACTCCATTTCCAACTCATTCAAGATCAAAAACATCACCACACAACACGAATTACAACCAACAAGCAACAAAATCCCGTTAAACAAAGATCGTTTGTCACGAAATGGAGACGTAAGCGGTAAATCTGAAGATTCGTGGTACCTTGATCATATCGACGGGTTGGATGACGCAAGTCGCGAGCATACCAGATACCCCTCCATTGATGAAGGGCTTCACGGTAGGCCAAACTCCGACGGATTTGGGCTTCTTCTCGTCTCCCATTTGCTGAAATGAAAAGTTATGAGTGAAAGCTCAAATGGGGAGAAAGAAGAAGAAGAGAGAAATTGTGGGTATGGAAAAAAATGCGCTGGTTTTGAGAGTGCGAAGGAGAAAAAGTGGAGAAAGCAGGTTTTATAGGAGTGTGTACCAAAAACCCTCCTCAGTCTTCCCTTCCTTTTCTCTCTCTCAGCGGCAACTGGCAACTATTAATTTAATTTTAAGCTTTGTGGAGTTGATTTTAATGGCGGACCTCAGATTCCTCGAGCGACCATGAAAAATGGCTAATTTTTCTATTTGCTGCTGCCATTTCTTTTGTTGGCTTTTCCCCAAAATAGAGACTTCTGTTTTGTTTCGGATTTCAAATTTATTTTCTAATTCGTACAGCCAAAATATATGTAATTTTTTAAGTTAAATTATAAAGTTAGTTTTTTTAATACAAACCTACCGGATCGAACTCACAACTTTTTAATATTTCGACAAATTATAAAGTTAGTTAATAAACATTCAATTTTGTGTTTTATAAATTTATGAACTTTATAATAAGTATTAAAAACTCTTTCAATTTTTAACCTTTCTCAGTAGATCTAAACCTATTTGATACTTTTCAAAATTCACAAATTTATCCGACATAAAATTGAAAGTTTAAAATTTTATGAGATAAGAAAATGAATTTTATGTCTGATAGATTCGTTAATTTAAATAAATTTCGAATATGTAGATAACTATTAGATGCCTAATTGAAAATACAAAATTATGAGTTTTATTAGAACATAATTACTGTTAAATGTTTTTTGAAGTTCGTAGATTTGTTTTTTAAATTGTTCACGGACTTCTTAGAAAGTTAAAAAAATCAATCTAAACTTAAATCAATAAACGTCTATCCCAACTAAAAATCTGGGCTTTTGATTCTCACCCCCACAATGTTATTTACTAGTAAAGAAAAAAAAACTTAAAAACTTATTTTTCTTAATGTATATAACTAGTGGGATAAGTAATTCAACTGTATTTGTTTTCTTTAAAAACAAAATTATTTATTTTATTAAACATTTACTTCGACTTGCATTACTAATATGACAGATATTGTTCAACAAAATAATTTGTAGATACACGAATTATATACTGATAAAAACATAAACGTAAACATATTAGTTTTAATTGTTGATTTGTAGTTCTAATAAAGTAAAACAATGGGAAGAGTTTCTCAAAAATAAAAATAAAAATAAAAAAGTGGGGTAGAATCTAACTTGAAATATGGCAATTGAGAATGTCAAAATGGTTTTTGTAAAAGTAATAATATTCTCCACTTTATAAAATCTATTGTACTAAAAAAATAACATCAATTTGTTATATATATGTTATTTTGTTTCATATATTTTTTAAATATTTATTTTGGTCGGTGTACTTTTAAGTTGATTCATCTGAATTGTTGTACTCTTAATACAAAATCATTATTATATTTTAAAAATTTTATTAAGTGCAATGTCGTGTTGAAATTGTGATGCAAAAAAACGAGATAGAAAAAATGAAATGCAAGGACCAAAGCAATCACTTTTTAAAAGTATAGGAAGTAAAATTGACATTTTGAAAGTATAAAAACTCAAATGAACAAAAACTTAGACCAAAATTAAAGTTTTGAAAGCATCAAAACTAAAATGAATGAAAATTGTACCCGAAATTACAAAGACCTGAACACTATTTAAACATATTTAACTTAATATATTAATAAATAAATTAAAAATAAAATACCAAAAAAAAACATTTTCAGTGGTTTTTTTTAATTATAAACCATATAAAATACTTTTTTTAGTACAACATGGAAGGGAGAATTCGAACTACATGTGTCAATTATCACTAACCTAAATTAATGGTAGAACAGTACAAAATACTTAAACGACTAGAGTTGCAGATTTATTTTTTATTTATTTTTTGTTATAAAACAACTCTACTTTATTTTTTATTTTCAGTTCATTAATAAATATAAATTAAAACAAGATCATGTTAAATTAATAAATTATTTCAAAATTTGTAAAATCCAAGCATTATAATCTATGTTTTTTTTCCTCAAGTAAAAACATAATTAATTTCAAATCCGTTGCTCAAAAATCGTAGAGAACAAACGGAAAATAATGAAATTTATTATGAAAAAAATTCTTCATGTAAATTATAACGTCTGAAGGAAGGCTATTTATTGAATTCCACTTTGCGGAAAGTTCTATGTTGGCGCGCTTTTCGATGTCGAATCCGTCCCGTCTCCAAACTTGCGATCAAGTTTCTTTTAATTGCAAATTAGACCCTTAATTAATTTATATATTTCACCATTTATATTTTAGAGGTTTAAAAAAAATAGTATTTTGGTCCGGGTACATTCAGTTTTAGTTTTAGTTTATTTTGATATATGTACTTTCAAAACGTTAAATTTGATTTTTTGTACATTCAATGTTGGTTCACTTTAGTCTTTATGTTTTCAAAGTGTTCGTTTTGATCACTTAATTTTATTTTTAATCTCATTTTCTACACAATTTTGACACGATATTACAAATACTCAAATATTAAAATGTAGTCATGACTTTATATTAAATAGTTTTTGTCATGTATAGGAGTGGTGTTAACTTTTGAGAATAATGACCAAATTGTCACTCTTTAGGAAATACAATGACCAAAACTAACATTTTGAAAGTACAAGGATTAAAATAACTATAGTTAAAAGTACAATGACATAAATAAATATTTTGAAAATATAGAGATTAAAATAAACAAAAATTGAAAAAAATACATGAACCAGGATAATATCCAATCTTTCTGTTACTACTATACTCGTGACAAAATGCATGATTTTGAAGGATAGTTCACTAAATAAATAAATATATCATGTCGTTCTCAAAATTGTACATACATTTTCAAAATTTCTTAAATATTTTAATTTTCATCCACATATCTTAAATTTGCCAAATAAGCCCTACTACTTGAGGGCCCAGGAGTTGAATAATAGGAGGGCCACAAATTAAATTTATTAAAAAGGTCAATATTGATAAGTTTCTAAAAGTCCAGTGATCATTTAATTCTTTCAAATCAAATATGTTATTGAATACATGATTTTAAATATCTATCGACACGTCGACATATTCATGTCTTCATAGGTTCGACATCGAAATTTCCATCATAGTACAAGAAAATCGACAAAATGTGAAAAATATCAACAAAATGTCACTAATATATATATTATATTAATATTAATTATTTTTAACTAATTTAGTAATGTAAAAATGTTTATTTGTTAATTTAAATATTTTTTACTAGTTTTTAATATTTATAATTTTTACAGGAATACATTTTATCAATATTTCCATGGATATTTCTATGAAATCGAGACATTGACATTTCCATCGGTATCGACATTTAAAACCTTGATCGAATATAACTTCAATATGGATTTATTGACCAACCAGAGTAGGGTCAAGGCACACTCTAAAATCTCATCTCTACACGTTACTAATAAAAATGATTTTTTTTATACAATGTTAATAAAATATAAATATTTGAAACATAACTAAAATGAACTAATACCCAAAATTGGTTCATTCGACTTCCAACCATATTGACCCTTTTGAATTAGTCGATCCTACAAAATTAATCACTTTCAAAATGTTTATTTGAATCATTGTAGAGTTTTTATACTTTCAAAACTGAGATTTTGGTCTCTGTAGTTTTAAAAAACAAGCAATTTAGTTGTTGCAAACTTTTGAAATAAATTCTATATACAAGGGAAACTTTTGAATTACGACGGTGTGATTGCATTTCAAGAAATTTATCGACGGTAATGAAATGCTTAAATTGTGATCATAAATAAAATAAATAGACCAAACAGCCACGAAAAAACTATAACGGGCATTTCAAAAATACAGCAACTAAAGTAAACAAAAAATAAAATTATGGGACCAAAATAAATGTTATAAAAATACACCGACTATAATTATATTGGGGCAGTTGCAAATATGACAAAAACGTTTAGTAAAATTAGTAAAATAGCAACCACATTTAGTTTTTCTCAAATATAACGTTTAAAAAAACGGAGATCTAATTTTAAAATGATAACTTTACTCAAAATGATATATATTTGTAATATATACGTAATATATCTTAATACTTATATATATATGTGATATACATCTGATATATTATTGATATAAGTGTCTGTGTGATAATATCTGATATCCTACTAAGAGTGAAATTTTGTACTATATTTGAAAATTAAAAGAGACGGTTGAAATACATAAAAGACTTTTGCTGATTAATGCATTTTCACAACTATTTATAAAAGAAAATTAATAATTTGGTTGGGAGAAAGAGTGCGAGTTAAGTCATGCGTTTTGATGACGTAAGTAAGTATGGTTAAAGAAAAAGCCATGAATAACGTGGGTATTGACGTCCAAGCCAAGCAAACAAGGCTTCCAGGTGGAAAATTAGGATTTTTGTTATTTTTAGAACCCAAAAAACAAATAAAATTATATGTTTCGTTGAATTAATCAAATTTAATCATAAATTTAAATATTATTTAGTCCAGTTCTATTAACTTTAATTTATTTTTGTTCCTATATTTTTAAAATTTCTCTTTTACTCTCTGTCACATGTGTCCATCCAAAATCCAAACTCCAGAGACATCAAATATATTTTTTTTATTAAATTCAATAGAATATTCGAATGTGAGATTTTTAAGTCAGTATGACTCAGATACTTTGAAGGCTATATTTTCAACTTTTATTATGTCCATATATTTTTAAAAATGTCTAATTTTTTGTTAATTCATTTTCTTTTTTAACCCAATTTTTAGTATATCGCAATTCTAACCTAATATTCATTCACTAAATTTCATGAAACGTAACATTAAATAACATTAAAAGGTTTCTATTGTGTATAAAAGTCGTGTTGCAATGTTGTAAATAAGGGACTAAAATAGTCAATTTTTTAAAAACTACAAAGACCAAATTGGATTTTTTAAAAGTACATAAACTATAATGAACAAAAGTAAAAAATACGAAGATCAAAATAAACGTTTTTTAAGGAAGGTTAATAAAATAAACCAAGTTTAAAATTATAATGACCAAAAATAGTATTTAAACCAATAAAATATTAAAATAATATCTTTTATTAATTTGTTTTTTAAATGTAACTTTGTAGATTTTTGTTTTAATCCAACGACTATGTAAAACAAAGATATTCGAACCTCTTAACCTTTTGATCTGTGATATTCTTAGTTACGCTTAAGATTGTGCAAAATCTTAAACCTTGCATTTATGGATAGGTTTGATGATTGCTTCATCCCACCCTATCCCAGTTGGTTTGTTGCTTTGGTATATATAGACGTTTTTTTAGATTATTTCAAAATCAAAAGTGAAATTAGTAAAATTACTCATTCCATTGCTTTTACTTGAAACTTTTTTCTTTCCAAATATCATTTTTTTTTCAGAATATACTTTTTTCTACGCTAAATATCGTTTATTTTTCTTCTTTTGTTGTTCAGTTTTGCCTTAATTGTCTTCTAATTTTATATGCAACTTTTGCAGTTTTTTCGTTCCTAGTCATTTTTACAAAGAGATATAATTGAAGAAACTTTATGACAATAGATTAAACATGTCACATATTTTATGTAGCTTTGAATAATTCTAGAAGAGCAACAACTCTCAATGATAAATATTAAACCAGCCAAATTATGCATATTCGTTATCACAATGCTTCAGCAACAACAACTATATGTTTAAGTGCTTCAAGAACCGTTGCAGTTGATCTTTCTAAATATATCCATGGGCTAAACAGCACCACAAATGAATAGAAAAATTGTCTCTTCCATTCATACATTTTTAAAATAATAATAATAAAATTCATCTATTACTAATTAATCAACAAAAATAAATCAAAGTTGAATTATAAAAAAGTTCAACGTTTATAATTTCATATAAAAATATCCAACCAAATATATCGTCACTAGATATAATTCTAGAGTGATTTCACTCAAAACACTTCAAATTGATCATGTCAAATTAATCTTCTGATTTTCAACATTCTTATTGTTGATCAGAGTCTGTAGCGCCCTGGGCCCTGGATTCAGGATCATTCAGAATTTGGATTCGACACCTCTTTGCCCCGACATTCTCTACTTAGCTGCGCCACAGACCAACACGTGTCCTTTTAGCATGTTTTGTCCTCACTCACATGCTTCCTACTAAAGCAACTAGGAGGTGAGCCATAAAAAATGAAGGTGCACCATAGGTAGTAACTATCAATTCTTTTAAGCATTTTCTTAACCATGCTTCTATGGTCTCAGGATCCCTCTCATTCGGATGTGGTATCCGTTCATTCATGTACTCCTCCTTTCTAGTCGGACGTCACATGCTCACCAGCTTCCACCTTAGTTCGTCCCCGAACCACATCCTACTGGGAGAGGTTCCGCTCTGATACCATCTGTAACGCCCCAGGCCCAGGATTCGGACCAAGATTCGAGTCTTTCTACGAAACAAATATAATATAAATTATTAACAAATATTCGTTAAATAAAGAAAATTAAATAATTTTAATATAAAATTTACCTCAAGTAAAAGGTTACAAACTTCTTTAACATAAAATTTAAAATCATACATGTACACCAAAACAAAACATATTACAATAACAAATTAATGATTTCATTAAAGAAAAAAAAACAAAAAATCGATTTATTACTTAGATTAACAATTAAACAATTAAAAAAGTTATAAATTATGATTAAAGGACTAAAAGAAGGGTAAACGAAAATATTTAAGAGGAGAAAAAATAAATAATGAAAATATTGACAAAAAAAATATATTAACAAAAATAAAGAGAACTGAAAAACAAACTCGTTTGTTCAAAATCAATCGTTCTTTATTTTCGATTATTATAACTTGTTGATGTGTTTCTCACGTTGTTGCTATGGACTTCTCAATATAATCAAATTGCTGAAAACATACGTAGTATTTCATTTTAAAGATGAAAAAAACCGAAAAATAAAAAGCAAATCAAAATTGTGTACATTAAATTGACATTTTGTAACTTGGATAAGAAAAGTGAAGAAGATGCATTGAGAGGGGAAATTTGAAATTTTGACCCTCCAATAATTCATTTTGGATTTATAATCCCATTTTGAAAAAAACTAATCTATCACCTCACTCTTCCTTATTTATTAATAATTTCATAATTTTTAAATGTAAAATTACCGTAGTACCCTCATGTTTCAAAATCAACATCTCCCCCACAAATCTCTTTACAAATCTTTATTCCCTTCACAAATTTCTCACAATAATTAATTCCAACCTTAAAAAATCTAACTTTTAAGAAAAATATCTAACTCAAATAGTAAATTAAAAGTTTAATATGGAAAAAATAAAAAAACGTACATAATTACATAATTTGTGCGAATTTAATTACAAAAAAGTCAARATTACAAAAATCTCGGGACAATATTGCATTAAATGCTCAAGATTTAATTGATAACAATAGGCAAAGAGGGGAGAAAATGCAAAAAAAAAAAAATTCTGGAATTTGGGATCGCGGACCGGGATTGGAGGATCCCGGTCTGGGTTAGAAGGATCCCGGTCCGGGATCCCAAATTCCAGAATTTTTTTTTGTGTGTGCATTATCTCCTTCTGAATTCCAGTTTCTTTTAGCCTTTATTGTGAAGAAAATCTCGGGTATTTAATGCAATTTTGACACGACATTTATGAAACCTTAATTTTTTTTTTGTAATTAATTCCGAACAAATCTTATGCATTTATTGTTGGATTATGCAAATCTTTTTTCACCCTAATTTACTTATTGGAGAATTTAATCTACAAATTTTTTTTGTGTGGATTCGTTTGTTAAGTAATAAATTAATCTATATTAGATTTATATTAGATTCAAAATTTTAAAAAAAATGCTAAGGGTTGAGAGAAGAGATTGGTGGATAATTTTACTTAAAATAAACAAGGATATTTTGGTAATTTTACAGAGACAAAAAGTGGAAAGGGGTCAAATTAGTTTTTTAAAAAAATGGGTCAAAAATACAGATGAATTATATAATGGGGTTAGAAATCTCAATTTCCCCATTGAGAGAGAAAAAAGTGGAAGGAGAGAGAATTTAGGGAGGGAGAAGAGGGAGGAGAAACATCAAATATATTTTGAAAATAAGTAAAATAGATATTGAAGAGATATCGAGAGATATGGATCAGATGTGATTTTTAATAAAATAATAAAAAAAATTAAAAGTAACCTATGTCAATTTACTACTAGGATCATGATTAGAAGTAACGTGGTCATGAAAATTCATGAGGCAAGTTTTTTCCATTTTTAATCGCTTCATTTTATGCTTATGTTTGAATAATTGCGTGATGGGTTTTGATTATTGGTCCTTTTTTTTAGAAAAATTAATTAGTTCGTTTGTGACAACTTTTAATTTTATTTTGACAATGTATTAAATCTCTCATCGGTTAAAAGTTGAATGCTAAATCTGATGGAACTAACTTTTTAAAGTTAACTTGTTAAATGTAGAAGGGAAATGTCAAAAAATTATATATTTTCCTCTCGAAGAGAACATTAAATTTGAGGTTAGATTATATAAGATGCCCCTTCGAGGGTTGTTTGAACAAACAATTTCCTCAGTTTTCTTGTCAAAACGAATACAAAATTGTGATGGGACGATCGAGTTGCATAAGTGGAAGGCACACGTGACAATTATTTTTAGGATGAAACTACATGTGAGGAGAGCGAAGTCGGTGGATGCTAGAAGAATGATGAACAAAACTTTAAATTGATAAATCTCATAGTTTCCATTCATCAATGATGTCACTAATATATTTGTCCCGTATTTTTTATGAAACCGTCATTGTGAGTGTTACTATTCCTCAAAATGCCCCAATTTTTATCCTTGAACTTAAAAGATGTATCAATTTTTCAAAAAAAAAAAAAAACTTTTAATTTCATCGGATTGGATTGAAGCCTTAAATAAGTATTCTAATTTTTACCTTAGGTTAAATTTCACCCACAATTGTAATAATAAAACAATATAAGAATAAAAAAAAACAAATTAGTAATTTCAATGAAAATAAAATTTTACAAAATTAAATTTAGGGTGCACGTGCAATGGTATGAAATGAAAATTTAGAGTAAAAATAAATACATTTCGGGAACTTTCGGGTGAAAGTTATTATTATGAAGAAAATCTCCATCTTTCTAAAATCTCATTCCCTCAGAATCCCCAAAGCTTTGATTTCACCATTAATGGCGGCTGCTTCCAGACCCTCGTAGAATAAGGTATCTCTCTTTCCTTCTCTTCGTCTATGATCTTTCAATTTCCCACTTGAATTCGATGCCCATCTATTCAAAGTCTAGTACCAGCGGCGGAACAAAACAACCACTAGTGGCTGCCGCATCACCTTCCAGCTTCTTTACCTTACTTTTTGTTTTCCAATTTAACCGTATTTGTAATCTGAGTCAGAATAAACTTAGGGGCATGGTTAAAGTGAGGGCTTAAATTTGCCAATCAACTTTTGGTGGCAACTCAAGATGGCATAATGATATTTGTTCCTTTTTCATATTGGATTTGTTCATTATGTTCCCTAATTGATTAACAAGTGGTTGAAATTTTTGGTTTTCAGCTGACAGGGAAGTGTATGAGGAGATTTTTTTTTAGTGGAAAATGTTCAGTAAGTTAACTAAGCGTGGCTTTTGTACGGCACTATCACCACGGCCTTGGCTGTTTGTGGGCTTGGGGAACCCTGGGGAGAAGTTCAGAGGAACCAGGCACAATGTAATAAGTGATCCATTTTTCACTGTTCATCTTAAATCACATTTTGGTTTTGGAATGAGAAGTACAAGTTTGGTCATTCTTATTTTGGTTCAGTACAGGTGGGGTTTGAGATGATTGATGTGTTTGCTGAGTCTGTTGGAATTCCAATTAACAGGGTTCACTGCAAAGCCTTGTTTGGCGAAGGTATGTTCATTTTTTAAAAAAATTAGAAACATCTCTTTTCAATTGTGCAACGTTTTCAGCAGTTATTGTTGTTTTCCTTCTGATTGCATGGAGTTCAGGATATTTGGCTATTGATGTTTGTCAGGTTTTGTTGGGGACATCCCTGTTTTTCTGGCAAAGCCTCAAACTTACATGAACCTTAGTGGTGAATCTGTATGTGAATGAGAATTCTCCTTTTGTCTTCTTGCTTCTTAAGAGCTAGGTTATTTATAGTTGTAGCTTTCTATTCTTAGAGTCCACAGATTCATTTGAGTGAATTCATCTTGTGAAATTATATATTCAACTTTTTGAAAGAAAAAAAACTTGGTATTCAATTTAAATCTACTAGAAATTTCCCAGGATACTGTTGGTCTGTTGGAGTTCATTACATGTCAATAACGTATTGGATAATGGTTACCATTGTACCGAGATTGGTTTGATGCCATACATCTTGCGTTTCATCATCTTATTTCAGGCAGGACCACTTGCAGCTTATTATAAGCTACCTCTTAACCGTGTCCTTGTGGTAAATTGTTATATGCATTTTAATATTTTTTTCATTACATATTTTTAAACGAATAAAGCCATGGTATTATTTTGAGTCTTTGACTGCTGCAGTTCCATGATGACATGAACTTGCCATGCGGGGTGCTTCGCCTTCGACCCGATGGAGGGCACGACTACCACAATGGGTATCTTTAAATATTTTTGTGGTCGTGTTGTATTTTAGTATGTTTTCATTATATAGCCATAGACTAGGTTGTCCCTTGCGCCACACCTCTTCTGTGGCTTATACATTTGGACTGGATCAGTGGTAGAGGTTAGTAGTCAGGGAGTTGATTTCAATTACCATGGAAATGGCTTTATCTGTTCTCACTTGAAATAAAAAAAAGGGTCCTAGAGAAGTCTAGAAAACCATTTATTATAGCATACTAGGGAGATGTTGATAATTACATCCCATTCGGATTTATCAGCTATATTTGGTCATGTCAATTAATTGTTCTGTTCTTCATAGACTTTTTGAGAATCAATGGATAGCATTTGAGATATTAAGATATTGATCAACCCCCTATTAAGAACATGTATCCCAGGAAGAAGAGGGCGTGTGAGACTTGAGAGGAACGTTTGGGTAGGAAATGTTGTGGTCCCAAGTTGGTTATTTATCAATAGGGCTGTTCTGGGTATTTTGTGTGGGTGCATACATCAGATGTAGGGGAGAGACAGAGGTATCTGTTTGGTTAAGTTGTGAGTGAAGGCAGTAGGAGAGGTCGGGAGCTCTCATATTTTTCCCTTGGCTCTGTAATTCTCTCTCTGAATATCAATAAAATAGGACTGGTTTCTATCAGATATATTACTTGACTTTCCAATAAAACAACCATGTGTCTCAAAATATGGTGTTTAACTGCATGCTATAGCGTGAATGCTTTTTTCTTTTTTTGTTTGGCGAGGTCATATTATTGTCGTCGTCTATACTTATTGGCTATATTGTTCCTTTAGTAAAATGTGATGACATTCTCTTCCATTTTCTGGACTTCTTGAAATGGATTTTTATGTTAGGCTGAAGAGTGTCATTTATCATTTTCGAGGGAACAGAGAATTTGCTAGGTTAAGAATTGGTAAGTTTTGTTCCCTATGTTATTTTGTGGTCTTTCATGTTTTCTCCTCCATTCTTAGAACATTTTCTTTTTAGGCATTGGAAGGCCACCTGGTCAAATGGATCCCAAAGCATTCTTGCTTCAAAAGTTCAACAACACTGCTCGAGAACGAGTAAGTTTTTGGTTTCTGCTGATTTATCTTGATGTAACTCATTAGTCTGCAGTCAAAAGCTTAATACCACTTCTTATGATCGAATCCTCTATATTTTTCATGTAGTTTTCATAGATCCATTGATGGAATCCATAAGTCTTTCTCTCACTTTTTTGTATGGAGTGGGGGTTTGAACTTTCAACTTTAGGGGAGGTAATAGGTGATTTATTCATTGAGCTATGCCTGAATTTTCCAGTCTCTCGCTCTCTATTCAACCCTCCATGATCATAGAAAGGAATAAAAACGGATATTTTAATCCTTACTGACTTGATCTTGTTGCCCCTAGAACATTGTTAAAATATATATTTTGGACCGTCCTCAATCCCATTTTATTTTTTGGCAAGTATATTTCGTACCTTTACATAAGTTATTGCTATTACTAACTCCTTTCGAATAATCCTTGATTACATTTGGCCTATTATACATCCTGACGTAACTCTTCATTCACTTTTGTTTGAAAAGATCGACACTGCATTGCTCGAGGGGGTTGGTGCATTGAAGGACCTACTGTCTCTTGGTTTATCGGAGAGTGCGAGACGCTTCAACCATGAACAGAAATACAAGCATATAAGGTTGCAGACGATGCCAACATGAAAAACGATGAATATCGTCAATTAAAATTTGATCAAATCCTCCAAGGGAAGAGGGGAAACAGAGGCAGAGTGGAGGTCCTCTCAAGGTACAAATAATTTTGTCTACTGACATGGGATAGTTTAGAGGGCATTTTGTTGTGATGTGTAATTATATTTTTAGGGTCTTAACTTATAATATAATTTTTTAAGCTTGGGAATTTGTTAGAGTTAATATTCCACATGATTTATGGTTGTAAAAGTAGAGCTGATTGGTTTTGTTGCATTCTACTTCACTATTGGTCCAATTTTCTATGTTTAAAGTTAAGGATTAGGAGATATTACCAATCTTCTTTGTGCGACTATTTCAGCTTCCAAGCGTTAGTGAATTCAATTTAGTCAGTAAGGCAAAAGACTAAAATACCCTTATTCGGCATTTTACTAGACATCCCTATTCTTTACCAATAGGGGGTTACATTTCCACATTTCCCTGAGCGAAGAGGGGGCGGAATGTTTAAGCTCCAAAGCAGTGAGTGAGTTACAGACTGGGTTCGAAAAGGTCAAATTTTTTATGATTCCATCATACATGATTGAGTTGCGAAAACTTTTGGATAGGTATCCCACATCTGAACTGAATTCTTTGTGGTTAAAGAATCTCTTTCTAGTTGCTCGGAAACCATTAGGAAATTCTCTAGAAGAAATATGAGGTTTTACTTCTGGTGTGTCCTCGACTCTACCCTTTCTTCTTTTTTTAATCATTTAGATTTAACCATTTAAATGAAGATATCCAGGAAGAATCAACATTTAATTAAAAAATTTCAAAAAACAAGAAATAAATGGAGAATAATTCCATGCAGCTTGGTAGGATCGTTCTCGTAGGGAAATACTTTAGGTAATTTGTAGGATATTAAATCATAAGTAGGTGACCACCGTAGTTTAAACACATTTCCTCTAAGTCCTTTGCTATTTACATTGGTCTTCATTGACCACTGGACCATCCCACTAGCCCTTTGTTGTACTTGAAAATAGATTTATAAGAATTTATTTGGTAGCATTCTTATTTCTTTGTTGGAATGTNTTGGAATGTATTTGTTTTTGTTGTTTCCAAAATCTCATACAATTTTGAGAATGTCTATAAAAAATTGAAAAATGAAATTATTGAAATTATATCAGCAGTATAAAAAATATTATATCCGGTGAATAAGGAAATCAGATATATCGGTTCTTTGTTTGTTTTTTTTTTTTCTCGAAAAAGATGAAATGAAATAATCCAATTTTTGGGGAAAAAAATTGTAATGGAATATCCAATTTTGGACAAAAGATTTCTTTTTGAAGATAGAATAAGGAAACGAATTATCGCAGTTTTAAAATACCAATTATTTGAATACTGCCCGACTTAATATTTTTATTGTTTATTATTTCAAACAATTAATCTTCCTAAAAAAATTCTCTCCATCATCCTCCTCGTATGAAATTTTAATCCCATAATATCTTCCCATTCAGGATCAGGACGGATTAAAATTATCTACTATTTTAATAATCAACGTTTATACTTATTTAATAATTTTTAAGCTTAAACCTATTTAATAGTTTTTTTTAATAATGCATAAATCCAAAAAGTTAAGAAAAAGTAGTAGAATCGAATTTCCACCCACGGACAATCCCGCAAAATATTTCCCGCTTCTAACCGACATCCCTATTAATCGACATGCCACATCATTAACATAGACTGACTTCAAGAACATGAATGGTTGATTTTGGTTGGTATTGATCAATCAAATCTATTACTAACTTTGGTTTTTATTAAAGCAAACTCTGTTTTTGGTGAGAAGTCCCTACCATGTGTGGTAGTTAGTCAATTCTCAAGCTTTTGAAGTTCACAACCAACCAAAAATGAGAGAAAAAATTGATGCCATGAATTCATTCCACTACAACCACCTTACCTTCATGCTCATAATTCAAAGCCAAGTTTCCAGATCCTAATCTCTGTTCAAAACACTACCAACAAATCTAACTTCAAGACTTTTGAAAGAAGTACTTACAAGAAAAGTAATTTAATTTAACACTACTTCTAAGAGTCATTCTCATCACATACTTTCACAGCTAGGCAACCCAGTTCACAAGAAGGAAAGTAGTATTCATTACATGTCCAGCTTCAAATTTTGATGCATATTTTGGCAAATTCTTGAGATCCTGCTGAATGGTGTACATGATTTTTCTTTGGAAAGATGAAGCAACATATAATGCATCAGATGTTATATTCTGTTTCTTTTAACATCCTAAATGCTAAATGTATATGTTTTTCATTTCTAACTTGTTAAGTTTCAGAAGTGCACTAAGGCCAAAGAAAATATGCTATCATCAGTAAAAATGGGAGACAATGCATGGAAAGAGATCTTTAGATCTTGGGCTTACATCAATCAACTAAGTCCCTAATTTAGTAGCTTTGAACTTTTTCAATCAAATCAGACTTCAATGAAAGGGGGGCATCAAAAAGATAATATGTAACTGCAAGAAGATAAAAATGAAGATTGGAATGAGTTGTTTGTATGTTACAAAATACAAGAGAAATGAATCAAAATCATGAATTCATATAATGTTGGAAAAAGGAGCAAGCATAACTTTAACCCAGAATGGTCTCAAACCTATCATGTCATTATGGAACCAAGTCAAAATATAGATAGGGAACATGATTCACCTATGAGTAATGCGGTCCTCAACATGATCAGCAAGTATTGATTCCGTCCTTGCAGTCTTTGGTCAAATTATAGAATGTTTCGACCCGGGTTTTTGCCCTATAGAACACTTCGGTGTCCACAGCAGCTCTCATGTACCCATCAAACTCGACTGGTTGTCCGTTGTTTATGAGTCGTGTTTCGTTATACCACTCACTTGTATTTCCCCATAATTCCTGGTAATCGTCAAGCAAATGGACTTTGAAATAAGATCGCAATTTGTCGAAGTAGTTATAGAACGGTTCATTGGATGCTATGTACAGATTCCTCCAAGGCTGAATCATCCCTTTCAATTTTTCAAGGATTGCATCAGGAGATGTATCAGAATCCAAATGAGGCCAAAGTTCTTTGTTTTGTGCCTTCTCTCCTCGAACCACATGAACAGCATCAAAATCCCAGTCCATGCGTCCACTGATTTCAGTCACTATATTCATCAATCTTTTCGATTTCCATACGGCGTGCCACGGACGCTGGATATACTTTGCAGCTTGCCCCTCACACACTCTGTACCAATAATTCTCGGGTTCTGGAGCATCAAACTGCCTCCATATGATCGTATTCTTATCTTTCTTCAGTTGCATTGGTGTCACTTTATGGCTCAAAACCTTCCTAACAGGTATTCTCTTCTTGTGGCTTTTGTCCCATTTCCTCCAATCTCTATGAAATTCACCCTCATCCACAATAGACGCAACCTCTTTAAGATGCTCGAAATCAAAGTAAAAACGGAAATCTTTCCCCTCCTCGTCTTTGTTGCTCGGGTTATAACTACCAGCCAAACACACACTCAAATCCATCACAAATGTCCTGTTTAAATACATTGCCTCTCCCAAACCACACAAGAAACTCCATAGATAATGATTCATACCTTTACAGTAGTCCCCTCCACGTGAATAGTACAAGTACTTCCCCTTCCTAAAATTCATCTCCGATCCCAATGTTGGGATCGTGTCGTTTATCTCCTCATCCCGCACCGGTGCAGCAAATCTAGCACTTCCACCACCACCCCTAGTACGATTGCTAGCTCCACTTCTCGGTCGTCTAGCATTCATTCCTGAATGCCAACCACCAGCATGAACTACCTTATAATGACAATCATCTCCAATATCGAATCTAAACCTCCGAAAATCCCTATACTTCCTCCAAGACTTCTCCTTCTTGTTCCTAAACCTCCACGAAACATCACATTCGTCCTCCTTCGACCCGATAACCGGAGTCTGATACTCCAAGAACGCAATGGACTTAAACGCCTTCAAGTTAAACCTTTCGACCGCAATCAAAATACGCGGGTCCGAACAATTAACAGCCCTCAATTCGTCACAATTCAGTTTAGGGGCAGAATCAGCAATTACCTCCTCAGATTTCTGGATCACCGCCTCAGTGATCTGGTTCCCCAAAGCCGGCGGCACAGCAGGGGATATAACCGAGACCAAATCCTCGCCAGTTTTGACGACGGATTCGTCGTTCTTGAAAGTGGCATTCTCGGAGGCAGTGAAGAGCTTGGTAAGAGCAGGCGTGGATTCAAGCCACGGATCCGGGGGCTGGTAGGTGATGGCAATGACGGTGATAATAAGAACAGAAAACACAAAAACAGAGAAACAGAGATTGCTTATGAGCTTAATCAGATGGTGCCCGATGGGCTCTGTGGGGGGATTTGAATCTTTCATGGGGTTTTGTGGAAACCCCAGTACCGAAATCGAAGCAGATCTTGAAATGGAGTCAAAAATTCGTCCAAAGGATTGATGGATAGAAGGAGGGAATGAGGGCGGAAATGATGGAAGCTTGAAGGAAAAACTTTGGAGAGCAGATCTACAACGGAACGGCACCGAACTCAGACTGCTGCTCTTTGCTTTGCTTTGCTGAGAAGTTGTTGAATGGATTTCTTTAATATAATATATATATATATATCCTTTTTTTGATCTTTTGGAAGAAATGTTTTTGGCCATCCCTTTTATTTTATTATTTTATAAATTTGGTCCAATTTCCAAGACCATATATATATAATTAAAACTAATAATTCTTATGCTTTTGATTTGTCTAATAGATTTAAATAGTTTTTAATGTAACTTAACTCAATTGGAATCCTCACTTAATATGTTACATTTAAGGAAAAAAGAGTCTTTTGATCTTTGTATTTTTAAAATTTATATTTTAGTATCTGTACTATATCTTTAAAATGTTCATTTGGTCGTTGTATTTTAAAAAAAGTGATTATTTTGACCATTTAATCTTTCATTTTTATTTCATTTTTTCGACCAAAATTTTAGCATGATACTTACCCACTAAATTTTTTAAAATGTAGCCATAAATTTGTATTAAAATGTTATAAAATTTATGTTTGATCACTTTTTAAAAATACATGGACTAAAACAAACAAAAAATTAAAAATACAAAGACAAAAATAGATTTTTAAAATATATAGGCCAAAATAAATGAAATATGAAAGTTTAACAACTAAAATATCATTTCAATATTTTTAGTACAATAAATATAGAAACAGGAATTTACTTTCAATTGGTTGCACTATTCAATTAATGTTATTTGTTTGGAAGGTTTTTTAAGAGTACCTTTTAATTCAAATAGCAAAAATGTTACGATTTAAGAATATATTTATCTTCAAAATGTCGAATTAAGATTAATAGTTCAATATCACAATTTGATTGATGAGGAATTATATTCAACAATTATTTTAGAAGTAAAAGCAATAATTGTGTATATATATATATATATATATATATATATATTAATATTTAGTTTATCTGGGTTCATTCGAGAACTTAGAACCAATCAAATAAATCCATCGAGTCTTCACTTTACTAAATCAAAATTTTATTCGTTAAGACTTCTAAAACATTTTGATGAGATAAAATTTTTTCTAATACAACATGTGGGGGCGGGAGATCGAATTCATAACCTCATACTTGAGGGTATATTTTAATGCTTGTAACATTTCAATGCTTTCGCAAGTGACCACCTAACACAATCATCGGAAACAATTTTCGCCCAAAGTCTAAGTTATAAAACTAGCTTAGAATCTCTAGACACCTGTCTAAGAGCACTAACTTATAATATTTTTACAAGAAAGAACCCAAACTTTGGGTTCTTCTCAAATTCAATTATGATATGTACAAGCTTTTGAGCAACTACAAATTATAATTGAGTTATAACCCCATCAAGAGAGACACCAAAAGAGTCAAATCAGAGCATGATTATAGTCTTGGAAGTGGAAAGTTTTGTAAATGAAATGGGACAACCACCTTGAAGCAGCAAAACAGAGTATTGCAATGGTGATAATGGTGGCCTTACCAGCTGCTGAAATCACTCCCTGCTTTGTCACTGCCACAGCTCCAATGGCAGCCATGGATATGACCTGAAGAGCCACCTCAGCTATGTTCAGAGCTTTATATGCAGCATTGCAGCTGCTACAGTTCACCACGTGGCTCCAGTACCTGAAAATCGATAATCGAATACATAAACGATCTATTTTTCCGTATATATAGTCTGCTCGAGATCCACAAATTTGTATGATTTTGCTTTTAGATTCTAGCTAAGAATCTTCAAGCTAATGGAGATGGTTTTTTTACTTATAAGTTCATGATCTTCTATGTCGGTTATCAAGAATAGTATTTTTTTTTTCTCTCTTCTCCCTCGCTTAATCTCGTACATGCTTTTAGAAAATTCTAGCTAAACTTGCCCTATGGGATAAAAAGGGTGCACCTTTCTTTTTTTGACAAGAACAAAAAAATGGCCAAAGGGCAGGGATGAGAAAACCCCCTCCCATCAAAAGACAAAAAACTATTGAATCAACGCTTTCCAATCTTGAAGAACTATGGAAAAGCCAATAGTTTTTTTAGAACAAAAATTCAACCCATATATTTTGATAAATGTTTTTTACTTGGAAATGGATGATTTTGACTCGATTTTTGGGTGCCAACATGAGTTTAGCTTAGTGGTTAAGACATCTTGAGGTCGGAACTTCAAACCCATGTCCCCAGATTTGTTGTACTAATGAAAATTTGGTTTTAGGCTGATAGTTAATTTAGTTGATCTTACGTTGGTTCAAACCGATAAGTTTGACATTAATTTTGGCTAGAAATCGAACACCTTACCCACCTAAAAGGGACAGAGGCCTTTTAGAGGTAGTAGAGAACTGAGTTTCAGGAATTAGAGGATACCTTTCGAACACCTGTTCTCTTGGAGGCAATGGAGGAAGGGAGCCAGAATATTTGCCTCCCCAGTCAACTTGACCACCTGCATACTTGCTCAACCACCTTCTAAATCCAACCACCAAAGCATCTGACTTTACTGGAACATAACAAGCTTTGTGCCAATTCGAAGAACCTATTTCCGTTAATTTATGCTCCTAAATTCAGAACAAACATCATCAGCAACTGTACTCGACAGGCCAAAAACAATGTTGTCTATGAAAGAAATTTCTTACCTCAACACGAAGAAAATACATGTCTGAATCTAGAACCAAGTTCTGTCCTATATGAAACATCCATCGTGGAACAATATAGTTTATCCATTTCCCAAAGTTCCTAGGGAAGGCCCATATCAATCTGCTTTTACCTGGACTAACTGGGATGCAGAAGAAAACGAGAAACGATCTCCGTTGCGATATTTCGGTTGGCGGTTTCTGAACCAACAAACTTTCTAAGAATCAGAACCCATCACAAGCAGAAAAAAAATGCAGTTATAAATAGTCCAGTTCAGATTATCATCCCAATCCGATGAAAGACATGGAAATGCTATTATGCTTTTGCCAATATACCTTTACATTTGCAGTTGATGATGATGCAGATTCATCACTCTTCCTCTGTATACTTTTTTGAATCAACTCTGGATCGGGGAAGAAATAATAGACACAAGGTGCAATAAACTTGTGACTGAGCATGTCGTGTTGGCCAACAAAACCATTTGCGTTCAGCGTTTTTACGCTCATTTCGAGTGGTCTGCCACCTTCTCTGTCAGCTTTCACGGTGAAAGAACACAAATGATTGTTGTTAGTCAATGCAATCCAGGTGAGAGCCTCATGCAAGAGTTGAGAAGATAGAATTGATAAACATATCTGTTTTTGGATATTGCTGGGGCTTGAATTATCCTGTAGTGAGCATATGGAACGTGGGCAGGGTCCAAAAGATTTTCAATCAGTATCTCATACCTGAAAACATCAATTTTCAACGACAAAGTAACCTGATTAAAATATCGCTACTAGCACAAAGAGCTGAAAATGGCATTGCACTAGTTCAAAACTCAGGATTTACTCTTCTAATACTATACAAAATCACTACCCTACCAGTTTAGTCCTTTGACTATTAGGGTTGTATCTGGTCTCAAAACTTTCAATTTGTGTCTAATAATCCTTTGAACTTTAAAAGTGTTGCGTAGGTTTCTGAACTTTCAATTTTGTATCTAATAGGTTCTTAAACTTTAAAACTATCTAGATCTCTAGACTTTCAATGTCGAACAAGTCCCCAATCTATCAAACATTCTTTTAAATTTCTGAATTATTTAGACTCAAAAATTAAAAGCTCAGGATCTTGTCAAATACAAAACTCAATTTTGGGTCTAATAAATTCACAAATTTAAAAAATATTGAATAGGTCAAGGATCTATTAAGCACAAAATTAAAATTTCAGAGACCTATTAGACATGTTTAAAGTTGAGAGACTTGTTCTTTTTTAAGAACAAGATACAAACTTCTCATTGAAATAATGAAAAATGGAATACAATGTTCAAAGGATAAGAACTTCCGAAGGGAGTGAAAGGAAGCAAGAAAATTCAGAAAAAACAAGAAGATAACTATCTGTAAGAACCCAAAAGCTTGACCAAGAGACACTTCAAAAGAATTGAATCGAAACCTTCAAACGAAGGAGAAGGCTGCAAAAACACCAACAGAGCATAAACTAAAGAGGGCCCAAGACTTCAACTTGATAGCGAGAACTTCAACCACCAAGAGGCCATCGACAATCAAATTTTTTTGACCCTGATCATCTTCAAGCTTGAGACCGCTGCACTTTGCAAAAATCTCATCAAAATCCATCTTCCATTCAGATAGCAGCTCCAACCTTCTTCTAATTCGAGCTTCTTCACAAGAAGTCATTTATTTTTGCAACCTTTCTAATTCATTCTTTATTATTATTATTATTATTATTATTATTATTATTATTGGATAAGAAACGTTCCAATTCATTCCTTAGATAGTCAAGCCAATTTTCCAAGGTAGAAAAGGAATCCAGGATAATCCCAAAGAATATGGAGGAGGGGGGATGAGAAGACATTGCCGAATAAAAGGCTTCCAAATACTTTGAGAGCAAAAGGCCAAATAAACCAAGAAGAGGGGACCTTTACAAATCCAAAGAATCCAAAGTCCTGCTTAACATCAATGAAAGGACTTCCTATTAAAGCCCAGAAATACCCAACCTGGATGCTGCCAGAAGATAATATACCTCGAGGAGAGAAAAGGCCTTTGGAGAACCAAGGCGCACAGCCTTTAAAGGATCTTCCCCAAAACGATGGAAACTGAGGCTACAAAACTTGCTGCTCAAAACATGAAAACCGAGCCGGTGCGAGAGACTTGTTAGACACATAATTGAAAGTTTAGGAGATCTATTAGAGATTCTTTAAAAGTTCAAGACTTGTTAGACACAAACTTGTAATTTAACTTGATGTTTTATATACCTCTTTTTGCTTCCCATTCTCATCCAAAAGATTATCCAGTGGCTAACCACAGACAACAATTTATGCAAAAACATAGCACAATCTTCTTGTGTACAATCTACTTTCAAAGTTCCTTACACTATCTTTTGTAAAACACGATGTGAATACCCATAGCAATGCAAATACGATTGATATATCTTATAGAGACAACTATCTCCTAAATTCAAATACTAGAATGAATAAAAATTACCTTAAAAAGATAAATAAGAATGAACGGACAGAATGTGATTCATTTTGCGTTAGCCCATAATTTTTATTCTCTGCATTTGACATTTCAAAAGGCATGGGAAATCAGAAAGAGGCTTCGAAGTGATTACCCGTAGGCCATATCTCTATTACCCTCTAACTTAACATAAGATGGGTCGTCCAGCTCTGGAATAAAGGAAGGTTTCTTCTCCGAAATTATATCTTTGAACTTGGGATCCGAGTTTGGCCAGAACCACACTATGCCATTCTGAACTGTGCTTGGATATACAGCGACGCACGCCTTCTTGGATGAGTGGACCTGCATGTTATATCAAATTGGAGTAAATGTTCATAACATTTGTAAATTCAGACTTCAATGTTGTTATTTATGAGAGATATTTCTCTCCCCTGTCTACTTAATACTCAATGTAGGCTTGAAATTTGAACCAACAACCTCCTAAAAGAGATCATGATGTCTTAACTATTAAATTATGCTTAGATCGTTGAGTGAGAAAATAAAATTTCAGATCCATTATGTATCTCTTTATTTTTTGTATACGAAATGAATCATAGAGTTATTGAACTATTAAATTACCTATTCTACAGAAAAAAACTCAATGGAATAGATTAAAATTTAATCATTTCAATATATATTCAACGCAATTTTTCTTTTTATCAATTTGATCATCTAAATCTGTCAATCGACTTCTTTGTTTTAATTCTTATTTTCAAATTTTAGTTCCCCTAAGGTTGAATTTGTCATCAGACTATATATTTGTAATTTAGATCCTGAGTTTATATGATGTCACATAAGAATTATGTCAAACACAATGTGATATTCAACATAAAACACTTTATAACTTCAGGATCAAAACAAAACATTTGAGTGGAAAAGAGACTATTATAAAATAATTAGAAAGGTTTTAAAAATAAAGTAGAATTTAAACTAAAGTAATTTGTGACCATAGAAAAGCATGCTTACCCCACACATCATTTTGATGGAAAGGAAAAAACAAACAAACAAAACCCCCTTACGTGGCTGAATTTCAGCCATAGTAACAGGGAAGAAATCGGTCAGTTATAGAGAGGAGAAATTACCGGAGGGCCATCGGGAGGCGCCTGAGGGATGAATTTGCAGTCACCGGAGCCATTAAAGCACCATCCATGGTACACGCACTGCAGCCTCCCCCACTGGTCGATCCTCCCTTCGGACAATGGCGCCAATCTATGAGGACAACTATCATCAAACACCTTCCACGCATTCTCGTTCCTGTCCCACCACACCACCAAATCCAGCCCTATCACCTTCTTCGCAATCG